TGCTCGAAAGTATTTCTGGGATGCTGTCCGTAAGTGCGATGGGAGCAACATATTAGCCCAACGCCCCAGCGGTGCCGGTCCCTCTGCGCGGCACCCGAGGCCGCGCGCAGGGTTCCGTACCGCTCGGGCAGCAGGGGCGCAGGGCATCCCCGGCAGAGGGGGCGCCAGGGGCCGGCCTTTTGGGGGGCGCCAGGGGGGCGCTGCCTGCAGCGCAGCGGCGGTGGCCGCCTCTTCTCGCCTCCGCTCCCGAGGACGAGATCGGCCTGGGCTCGTGCGCTCGGCCGCGGGAGGCGATGGTCTGCGCCCAGTGCCACAGCTGCGGGCTGCTGGTGGTGAACGGCAGGACGTCCTGCGACTTCTGCGACTGCCCGGATTCCTCGGGCGTCGTGGGCGGCGCCGCTGGCTCGGAGGACGTGCTGGCTGTTTGACCAGCCTCGCGGAGCGGTCATACGGGAGGTCGACGGTGGCATTTGAACAGGATTCGCTGTCGGTCGGTTGTCAGGTCTGCGCTGCCCGCCAGGGTAGGAGCGATGAGCACCATGATCAGTCCACGAGTGACAATTGTTGTTAGCATTGATCGTGCGTGGTCGATGTGCTCATGCGATGTGTAATTAGTTTGCGTTGTTTATGGCAACGCTGCTGACTCCCATCGTATAGTCTGGATTATGATGGTGGTGCCTCGCCACAGGGTTGCCGGGTTTCCCGACCTGCTGCCAGTACATTCCGTCAATGTTTTGTTGCTTGTCCGGGATATCGAATATGACAGTTCCTGGCCTGCCCCCGCTTGCTGTGCGGGCTTGCACTCTGCGCTTGCCCCAGTCTCGCTCCAGCTCCCGCTGCTGCTTCTGCTCGCGCTGCTTTGCCAGCTCCTGCTCCCGCTGCTGCTTCTGCTCGCGCTGCTTTGCCAGAGCTGCGGTCGTCCATCCAGGGCTCCAAGAGGCCGCAAGAGAGCCCAAGGGCTCGCCGATGTGCCCTAAGAGAGCTTGCAGTTGACTCCAACGGAACCTAAGATGACCCCAAAGACATGTCCGCCAGAACGAGACGTCAGTTCAGGTCAAATTGAGATTCAGTACCGTTTTGAATGCCAGGCAGCGTTTCGGTTCCCAGCTCTCCCCCTTCCTCATCCTCTTCCTCCGCCTCTCCTCTTCGACCTCATCTTGGAGCCGCCTCTCTGCCTCTTGGTTGTGACGTTAGTTACTTGCACCACATAGCGAGTACCGCATAGCTTACAAATCCAGGGCGCAAGAGTTCACTCTTTAGGGCCCACGTTGACAAAGGTGCGTGTGTGGAGCCCACAATCAGGCATTGCACTGGGCATGTGTAGACAACGTGGCGCAATATACGTGGTGCAAGCTATGTGGTGCAAGATGTGTGGGGCAATTGTTGCCGGTGCGAGCTATGTGGTTCAAGCTATGCGGTGTGAGCTATGTGCTGTAGGTAATGCCATGCATGTGTAAGACATGCGATGTGAGCTACGTGGTGCAAGCTACACGGTGTAACCAACGTGGTGCAGTTCACCACGTCAATAATGAGCTGCCGACTCCACTGCTCGTGCAAACATTCCGCCCTCCCGCACGCAGCTTGTTCTGCAACACCCATGCGGCCGCGATTGCAGTGACTGCTTTGCGCTGGCTGGAGCATCCCTGCAGCCGCGCTGGCGCGCGCAGAGCGGCGAGCCTGTTTGGCACAGCTGATGCGGCCATAACGGCGCTGACCGACGGGATCTTCTCAGCGCGTCCGAAAGGCAGCGCCGGCGCGCGGGCACGTCACTGCGGGTCGGTGGCTCGGGTGGGCGCGGTACCATGACGACGACTACGTTGGCAGCGATGATGACAGTAGCGCTGGTGGTGGCGATAATGAAGATGACGACGGCAAGGCCAATCACGGCGGCGACGGTTTGGTTACGGCGATGGCGATGATGATGTCCATGTGGCGGTGATGGCGGTGATCGGCTGATGATGGCACAGCCGTGAGGGGGCTGCGAGCCGTTCCCTGGGGGGCTGCTGCGCAGACGCGATCTGCGAAACCGTCGCCGCTTTCGAGGGCTGCCAGGGAGGCGACAGCACAGTGGGGCCCTACTCAGGTGCAGATTCGGCCTCGCCATCCCTGGGGGGCTGCAATCTGCGTAGCCGTCGCCACTTTCGAGGGCTCCTGGGGGGGCAGCCTCGTGGGGCTCTACCCAGATTCATAAGCGACCTCGATACTCAGATTCATAAGCGACCTCGCCATCCGTACGTGGGGGGCTGCGACCTGCGAGACGGCCGCAACATTCGAGGACTGCCGTGGTGCCCAGCAGAATGGGGGCCCTACCCAAATTGATATTCGGCCTCGCCATCCCTGGGGGGGGGGCTGCTAATTGAAGCGGCCGCAACTTTCGAGGGTTGCTGTGGAGGGCAGCATAGTGGGGCCCAACCCTGACCCAGGCTAGACCTCGCCATCCCTGGGGGGGTGCGTTTTGCGAGACCGCAACCACTTTCGAGGGCTGCTACGTGGGGCAGCATGGCGGAGCCCTGCCCAGACTCAGGTTGGACCTCGCCATCCCTGTGGGGGCTGCGATCTGCAAGCTTTTCGCCGCCACTTTCGAGGGCTGGTGGTGGGCCCAGGCTAGTGCGGTGCTACGCAGATCAGAGCGGGACCTCGCCATCCCTGGGGGGATGCGTTTTGCGAGACCGTCACCACTTTCGAGGGCTGCTGGGGAGGCCAGCACAGTAGGGCCCGACCCAGATTGAGATTAGACCTCGCCATCCCTGGGAGGTGGGGGGTGGGGTGGGGGGTCTGCGAAAATTTTGCCACTTTCGAGGGCCGCTGGGTGAGCAGCGTAGTGGGCCTCTACCCAGATTAAGATTCGACCTCGCCATCTCTGGGGGGGGGGGGGGGGGCGATCTGCGAAACTGTCGACACGTTCAAGGGTTGCTGGAGGGGGGCAGCATAGTGGGGCTGGACCTACGTTCAGATCAGATTCGACCTTGCGAAACTGTCGCCACTTTCGAAGGCTGCGGGGAGGGGGCAGCAAAACGGGAGCCCTACGCAGATTTGATTCGACCTCGCCATCTCTCGGGTGTCACGATCTGCGAAACTGCCGCAACTTTCGAGGGTTGGTGGGGGCCAGCATCGCGTGTCCCTACCCAAACCCAGACTGGACCTCGCGAATCACGGGAGGGTGCGGTCTGCGAAACTGTCGCTACTTTCGAGGGCTGTTGGGGGGGTAGCATAGCGGAGCACTACCCAAATTCAGATTCGACCTCGCCATCCTTGGGGGGTTTGCGATCTGCGAAACTGTCGCCACTTTCGAGGGCTGCTGGGGCGTGCAGCTAAGTGCGGTGCTACGCAGATCAGTTCGGGACCTCGCCATCTCTGGGGTGCCGCGATCTGCGAAGCTGTCGCCAGTTTCGAGGGCCGCTGGGGGGCCAGCGGAGTGACGTCTTGCACAAGTTCAGACTAAGCCTCGCCATCCTTGGGGGGGGGGATTTGCGAAAACGCCGCCACTTTCGAGGTCTTACGCAGATTCAGACTCGACCTCTCCCTTCCTGGGTGGCTGCGAACCGCGAAACGAAACTGCCGCCACGTGCGAGGGCCGATCCGGTCGGCCACCCTGCTCGGGTCGCCGCCGCAGGATCCGCAGCCTCGTCGCGCGCGGCTCTTCTCTTCCTGCCCCTGACCTGGCCTGTCTCGTAGTGGTTGTTCCCCCCTACCCCCTGGCCTCACCCTGTTCGCCCCTCCTCTTCTTTTTCCCCTTCCCTCTTTGCTCCCTGCCTCGTCTGCCTGCGGCTGCTCCCCCTCTCCTCCTGTGCCCTCTCGCCTCCCTCCCTTCTCCCCCCTCTCCCTGTCTTGTGCCTCCGCCCGGCCCCTTCCTCCGCCTGCCCGCCCGCACCGCGGGCCCCAGGCTCCCGCCGGCGCGCTCGTCGTCGTCTGCCTGCTTCTCGCCTCCTCGCTCCTCTCCGCGAGGCAGCAAAGCCTGCCGGGGAGCAGCGTCGAGCCATCGTTGCTGTGGCTCGGGTGCTCTGGGCGGGATGCGCAGCAGAGCCCTGCGCTTGCCGGCCACCATCCGCTGTTTTTACTCGAGGCTCCTGCCCACTGTTGGGCGCCAGGCTGCCTTCACCCACGAGTTCTTCGCCGAATGATCTCCACAACCTTACCCGAATCGTCCGAAGTCTGAGTGCTGAGGTCCTTGTAAGTTTCTTAGTCGGCAGTCGGTAGATTGCAGTCGGCGCCAGTGGCCACGGGAGGGGAGAGTAAATATCCCCCCGACTTTGACAGGCATGGGCAGGCTCATCCATTCATCCAGCGGGTTCTCTGTAGTTGACCTGCAGCGGACTGACCTTGGAAGGTGCAGACGGGTTCTGGCATACTTCGAAAGATCATATCTCCCCTTCTTCTGACCGTCTCTTGTCGTCACGCTCGTGCTGCTGCCATGTCCTCTTCCCGCCCCTTGTACAGTCTACCAAGCTACATTTGCCATGCGTTGCTCAAGGGCTGGGTGCTTCGTTAGAGCAGGTCAGAGGAAGTTGAAGATACACAGTCGTACGATACAAGGCAAGACAACAACATGTTATGTAAAACTGCACACTACAACTATTATACCACATCCCACTACATTATAACATCATGCACTGCATTTGTATGGAAGGTAACGAATTGGGACACGCTGTGGTAACACATAATACGACACTGTATACTAGAGTACCGCATCATGTTATATAAAGCAATTCCGTATACTGTAACATATCATGGCGTAATGTACGGGAATATGATATGCCGAAACATCATGTGGTAAGCATGCTGTAGTATACAATCGTATGGTAGATTGGGAAATGGCATACTACAGTTAACATATTATGATACACTATGCTAATCCATAATCGAACACAGGCCATTCCATCTGATATAGTGATATATGGTGTAAATTTGTATGACATAGTATCATATAACATAGTCAACTATACTATAGTATGCTGCTTTCAAGATTTACTACAGTATGGCGCCAGACAATGTGCTATTTCATCGTATGATGTAGTCTAACATTGCCATGCCGTACTTGTGACTGCAATGGTATCGCTGTATATACCCGGATGCAACCGAACGTATAATATTATATTAAAGGTGGTAGGTCTGATATGCGATGGTTCACTACGATATGACATGACATGACATGTTATGACGTGTTATGTTAAGGCATGGCATGTTATGATACGTTATGATATGGCTCATATACCAGAATCTAGGTGCATATGTCTACACACAAGACTGCATTGGCGTTTCGCGCCATGCACCTTGGTCCTTCTGGTGTTGGCATGCAGGCAGGAAGGCAACAAGGCACAACGGAACATTAAGCGGCAATGAACTATATGTTGTTTTTGTCGGGCGTTGTCGTTGTAATCATGTTATTCGCGATCCTTCCCTCATGTTTCTTCTTCCTCTCCCTCAATCTCGCCCTACCCTGGTAATTCGCCACTATCCTCAGCTCTTCTTGTGGAGTAGCATCCTAGGAGACCCTCGTGTAAGTCTCACGAAGGTTTTAAGGGCTTGTTGGGGCATTCTGGAAGCCTCCTGGATTCCTTCTGGGGGCCACTTGGAGCTTCCTTGGGCCACCCTGCTTCAACCGCGGTCTCCCTGAATGACAGGGTCACGATTTGAAATGATTCGGGAGGCGTCTCTGGGCCATCTTGTGCCGTCATGGGGCTCTCGTCGGGTCATTTTGGGGCCCTGTTGGGCCGTCTTCGGTCTCCTCTTGGACTGCCTGGAGGCATTCTTGGTTAAATTTGAGGCGATGCTCTGGCCTCCTGGGCAGTCTCGGACGCCCGGAAGACCGAAGAGTTGAGCATTCCTAGAATCATCAAAAAACACAGGAAGTTCACGTTTCTGGTGTTTTGAATGCCTCTTGTGGGTCTTTTTTTTGGCATTTTTGGCCGTCTGGTGGGTGTCTGGGGCCTCTGGGCTGTCGTTGGGCCATCCGTCCGCCCTCCTGACCGATTTGGGCCTGTTGCCTAGGCCCAGGGCTTCAGGAGCCCCAGAAAGCACATGGGACCGTCTACAAGGGCGTCCAGGGTACCCTAAGGGCCAAGGATCCGATTAGGAGGGGGTCGCAGGGTCCCAGATTATAGAAATATAGAAACGGGAGTGTATGTGTGTAAAGTTGTACACATGTATACATACATACATACATACATACATACATACATACATACATACATACATACAAACATACATGCATGCATGCATGCATGCATGTATGTATGCTTATATACATGCAGGAACATATTTATAGACGCACAGACATGCATACACACATGCACACATACATACAAATTACAGACATGCATACATGCATACATACAGACAGACATGCATGTGTATATGCAGTATCACACGCATGGCAACATGCCTGCCTTCCTAGCTTCGTCACTCTCTAAGACGGCCGAAGAAGCCCCCAAAGTCGCCCCAGGATCGCCTCAGACGATCCCCTGAAGGCTCCAGTGCAATGCAGCCCTTCGGGGCCCCAATGCCGCCCCCGAGGCGTCCCAGACGGCCCCCCAACAGACCCCCATAAGACGACGCAAGATGCCTCCAAGAGCACTCCCACAACGGCCCCAAGAAACGAACCTCGCTTATTGGTTCATGAGATTTTGAGGGATTTGCACTATTCTGCCTTTCTGGCTTCTCCACGCTCTACGACGGCCCCAGAGGCCCCAAAGATCGCCCCACGACCGCCCCGGACGCCCCCAAGAAGGTGCCAACACAGCCCCAGCGGCCGCAACACGGCACACGAGGCGCTCCAGAGAAAGGTGCCAGAGGCCGCCAAGACAATCCAAGAACACTCCGAACCGTTTGTAGGGGTTCACGCGCCCCGAGGGCCTCCCCACGGCCCCAGAGGTCTCCAAGACGACCCAAGTTGCCTCCAAGAGTACTCCCACGACAGCCCAAGAAAAGAAATCAGCTGACTATCCTGGGTTGTTTTGCACAATTTTCACCGTGCTGCCATTCCGGCCTCTCCGGCCATTTATCCGCTTGTGCTTGGCCTTCTGGTCCTCCAGCGCCTGGGAGGGGGCGCTCGGCTCAGAGGACTCGACCACCCACGCGTCCATGGCCCTGAGCGGAGGCTGAGCTCGGTCGAGGGAAACGCCCACCCGCACGTCTGCGGCCTCGAGCAGGAGCTTGCCTCCCCCTCCCTTTAGGGTCTGCCCCTGTCTGGGCTCCCCAAGGACGCTTCCGCGTCCCGACGCCAGCCGCTGAGAGGGGGCCCTCATCGCAGGGGCTTCGACCACCCACGCGTCCGTGGCCCTGGAATGGGGCTGAGCTTTCGGCCACCCGCACGTCTGCGGCCTTGCTCCAGAGCTCACCACCCCTATTCTGGGTCTGCCCAGCAGCGGGCTCCCCAAGGACGTCTCCGCGCCCCGACGCCGACGAGGGGCCTCTCTCCCCTGGGGCTTCGGCCACCCGCGCATCCGCGGCCCAGGGCGGAGGCTGGCCCTGGTCAAGGGCTTCGGCTACCCGCATGTCTGCGGCCTCGCGCCAAGGTCCGTTGCCCTCCTTTAGGGTCTGCCCCTGTCTGGGCTCCCCAAGGACCGCTGCTGGCCCCAGTAGAAGGAGGCGCCTGAGCTCCCTGGGCAACCGCACCCGCGGCCTGCCATCCAGAGGCTCCAGCTGCTCGCTGCCGTCCTCCGCGATAGCGTCGACGTAGCCCCTGAAGCTCACGGCGACTGCCGCGAGGTGGCGCCGCGCCCGCGCAGCTCGGACGCCCCCATCTCGGCCGACACCTTCAGGCGCGAGGTCGGGCGTGACAGCACCAAGGAGGCCAGTAGGAAAGAAGGGGGGCGCCTCCGCCCGCATCGCCCCAGCGGCAGCCTCCTCGGCCTCGCGCCTGGGCGCCGGGCCCCCCGCTGGGCACAGCGCAGCTCCGCCGCTCCCGCCGCCACGATGTCCACGCCCTGCGCCTCAGCGTGGAGGGCGACATTACGCCCCAGGCGCTCGAGCCATGTGGGGGACCTACCCCCAAGCTTGGCCTGCAGCGCGGGGAGCATCGCCTGCAGTCGCTGCCCAACCTCGCCGTCACCGATGACGGCGCACAGGGCCTCATCCGTGGCCCCCAGGCGAAATCGGGTCTTGGCCAGCTCGCCCGAGAGCCGCTTGACGGCATTATCGGCGGACCACTTCGCCCACTCTCGGCCTGCCCTGCGCTGAGCCGCCGATCGCCTTGGCGCGCACTCCGCGCCATCCCGTGCCACCATCGCTCCGTGAGCCAAGAGCCCTGCCCCCCCAAGGCCCTCAGAGGGACAAGGTCCAGGAGCAGGGGGCCTACGGAAAAGGCCTTGAGCCAAAATGGCTACGGATGATGATGATGATGATGATGATGATGATGATGATGATGATGATGATGATGATGATGATGATGATGATGATGATGATGATGATGATGATGATGCTGATGCTGATGCTGATGCTGCTGATGATGATGATGATGATGATGATGATGATGATGATGCTGATGATGCTGATGCTGATGCTGATGCTGATGATGATGATGATGATGATGACGATGATGATGATGATGATGATGACGACGATGATGACGATGCTGTGCTGATGCTGATGCTGATGCTGACGTTGCTGCTGATGCTGATGCTGATGCTGATGCTGATGCTGATGATGATGATGATGATGATGATGATGATGATGATGATGATGACGATATTCTAAATGGCGTCTGTGACAATGATGGTGACGATGGCGATATTGGCACTGATAATGAATCCTGATCCGTCTGCTCTTCGATCTGGCGGCCGCAGCCGCTTGTGGAACCACCCCCCAGCATGCGCTGGAGTTTCAGCGCGCGTGAAGCGCGCGCGATAGCGTTAGCATACGTACATAGATAGACAGATCCATTATCATACGCACCTCTCCGAGGGAGTAGAGCTCAGAGGCCATTGATTCCCGTCCCGTTCGCCCTGGCTGTTTCGCTTGAAAGATCCTCAGGATTCCGAAAACCGGTGGCACCACTCACGCAGATCGCGACGTCACGATTCAAAAACACATCCTTTGTCAACCATG